TGTCCGACAGTAGAGGATAAACTGGTGTCCTCTTAAGTGTAACCCACAAATGATATTTCTTATCTTTGGAGTCTTAATGTTCTGGAGTGAGAGAGTCAAGGCGGAAAACCACACGTCTGTTATGGTCTCAATTATACACACACCTATAGAGAGAGAGAGAAAAATAAAAATCACCAATATATTAACAGTACGCATCTTCATGATACACAATTATGAACTCCTCCTTTAAATTTTCTGTTTTCCAAATTTTTCTGCAATTAAACTTTTGAAGCTTTTATAACCAGGGGAAAAAATGATAAGAGTTTGCAGAGCATTCCAGAAATAAGTGACTCAGATTGCCTGTTATTTTAGATCACTCATCCTGCCCTGCCTGCCGCCTCCACCTCTCCCTTGCTAATGTTCCAGGGGCGATAGTCCAGGCTTGACGCTTTGAGCCTTGTCAGCCCAGAGCGGCAGGAGGGCGCGGCCGGGCCCTGCCCCGTGCATCTAGGGTTCTTGGTTTGCTGCTGCCGTCCCGGGGAGCCCGGGGTGTCTCCAGGTCTGGGAGGAGGACAGGGCTCGGTCAGGATTGCGATGGGAGCCTCCTCACTCCCAGCTGGAGAAACACCACTTAGATCAGGTCCTGGTTTGTATGCTGAAATCAATGCATTGACTTTCACCCACCAGCCTGGTGGGTCCCAGCCTTGGCTGCACGTTAGGGGAGCTTTACACAAACACTGTTTCCGGGACCCCACCCACAGTCTATTGAAGCAGATTTTTTAGCGAGGGGGCCCCAGGTTCACCCCTAAACAGAGTGATTTTTTTTTTCAGAAGTTCCCTGTCTGATTTAAGATGCATAGTGCAAATTGAAAACCACTGGACTCCAGGCAGCACGTCTGCTAATGAGCCCCAAATTCAAAGTCCTTTAGAGTCACTGCCACCCCCTCACCCCCGTCCCACTGCATCCCAACAACCCCCCCAGACTCCTGCCCCTCTCACCAGGCTCACTCATCCCTTCCTCACTGACGAGCCCAGATACAGTCAGTGCTGGTTCCTGGGGGACTTGGTCTGTTCCCTCGGAGTCGGGCCGAGTGAGTCAGCTCCCCCAGAGCCGAGATCCCTGCCGAATCCAAACTCCACCTTTTCACCTCTGCTTCCTGGGACAGGGCTACTGCTGGATGGCTGTCGGGTGAGTGAGGGAGTAACTCCCATTGTCTGACCACAGACTGTCCGCTGGTGTTTGACTTACAGGGCGCACAGATCATAGTGTTCCCAGAAGACGGCATTCACGGATTCAACTTCACAAGAACCTCCATTTACCCGTTTTTGGACTTCATGCCATCTCCCCACTTGATCGGATGGAACCCATGCCTGGAGCCCCACCGATTCAATGACACGGAGGTACATGAGGGGACCAGCCTTCCTCCGCCACCTGCTTTGAAGGCACGCGGAGGTGAACCACGCCACTCACCAAAAACCAAGACGTGCTGAATGAGACTGGGAGGCGACCTTAGGGTCCTACAAATCACACCCAGGCCTCATGTGCTCCACAGGCACTTCCTTTTAAAAGATGTTTTTCCCTTTAAAAGATTATGATTTCAATTTAGATGCCCACTAGCGGGCAAAAGTGCCTTTTCCCCATCCTTTGGCCGAAGCAAGATGGAATTCTAAATTTTTGCCAGTCTTATGAAGGTGAAAAATGACACCTTATTTTAATTTGCATCTGGTTGTCACTCATGAACTTGAGCATCCTCTCAAATGTTTGTGGGCCATTTGTCTTTGTTCTGTGAATCACCTGTTCGTACCCTTTGCACACTTTCAGGACTGGTTATTTTTTCTTATTGATTTGTGTTAGCTGTTTACATATTATGGATACACCACAGGTACTCTTCTATTTTAAAATTATAAGCAGAAGGCAGGGTTTAAAAATGCTGTCTATTTATACTGTTTCCCTGCCAGGTCCTCCAGCGTCTGAGTTGTATGGCTCTCAAGGGAGAGATGTTCCTGGTGGCCAATCTTGGGACCAAGCAACCTTGTCACAGCAGGGACCCAGGGTGCCCAAATGATGGAAGGTACCAGTTCAACACCAACATTGTGTTCAGCAGTAACGGGACCCTGGTTGACCGCTACCGCAAACACAACCTCTACTTCGAGGCGGCATTTGACACCCCCCTTGAGGTGGACCACATCATCTTCGACACCCCCTTTGCTGGCAAGTTTGGCATCTTCACTTGCTTTGACATCCTGTTCTTTGAACCTGCCGCCAGGCTGCTCAGGGACCCTGAGGTGAAGCACGTGGTGTACCCGACCGCCTGGATGAACCAGCTCCCGCTTTTGGCGGCTGTGCAGATCCAGAGGGGCTTCGCCACTGCCTTTGGCATCAACCTCCTGGCCGCCAACATCCACCACCCGTCTCTAGGGATGACCGGAAGCGGCATACACGCCCCTCGGAAGTCTTTCTGGCACCATGACATGGAGAGCCCCGAAGGCCACCTTATAGTTGCCCCGGTGGCCAAAAACCCACTGGGTCTCGTTGGTGCAGAGAGTGCCACAGGTAAAACAGACCCAGCCCACGGTAAGTTTTTAAAGATCTTGGCAGCTGGTCCGTACTCTGAGAAGGACGCTCAGGATGTCCACTGCGACGGAGCCACCGGATGGAACACGAGCACTCCTGCCACCTTCTACTCTGAGATGATGTATGACAATTTCACCCTGGTCCCTGTCTGGGGAAAGGAGGGCCACCTCCAAGTCTGCGCCAATGGCCTTTGCTGTCACTTACTCTACCAGAGGCCCACTCTGTCCAAAGAGCTATATGCCCTGGGGGTCTTCGACGGTCTTCACACCGTGCACGGCACTTACTACGTGCAGGCTTGCGCCCTGGTCAAGTGCGGGGGGCTCGGCTTTGACACCTGTGGTCAGGAGATCACGGAGGCCACGGGGATGTTTGAGTTTCACCTGTGGGGGAACTTCAGCACCGCCTATGTCTTCCCAATGCTGCTGACCTCAGGGATGACCCTGGAAACCCCTGACCAGCTCGGCTGGGAGAGCGATCACTACTTCCTGAGGAAGCGGGGCCTGTCCTCTGGTCTGGTGACGGCTGCTCTGTACGGACGGGTGTACGAGAGGGACTAGGAGGGTGCGGGGTGGGCTCTGGCCAACGCGGGGGCTTCCCCCGGCGTGGGCACAGGCCGAAGTCCGGGGCACGTGGGCCACCTCTCCCCGCCCCGGAGTCCCTCCTGGGCGCCGTTGGAAGAAGCAGGGAAACAGATTTCACCAGTGTCTCTTCCTCTTAAATACAAATTAGCAAGACACCTCTGGCATTCTTCTACTTGCGTTTCCACTTTCCAAGCCACATCTTCCTCCGGCAGGGCTTTCATTACACAATTGTTGTAAGAACTCAAACAAAAATAAATGTCAGTTTACACAGTCCCTCCCCCAACACTGATGAGGTATCTGACCAAGCCAGGGTGTCAGCTGCTGGGGGGGTTCCAGGTGGAATGTTGGTGTGTTCCCCGGGGCCTGTGTGGCTGGTGGCTCCACGGCGACCGGGCAGAGCCCTGTGCGGGGTCAGTGCCGTGCGGGGGCTGCCGTGCCCTGTGGAGCCTGGCTTAGGGCTCTTCTTTGAGAAGCTGACTGAGGTCATGGTGTTGCTGCCGCCCAATAGCCTGAGTTCATGGTTCGCTTTCCAAAACCTAGAAGGGCGGACAGCGGCATGTCTGCCTGTCAGCAGGTTATTGGTTGGTGTCTTACGTGCTTTCAGACTTGCTCAGTCTTGTTGGCGTGGGGACATTGGCAGAGAACACCAGGCTCGACAGAGATTCATTAAATATACTTAGCCTCGCTGATACTTACAGAAAAATGATGAGGGTGAGCCTGCCTTTGAGAAAGGAACTCAATTCTCTGGTCCAAGAACTGGTCCAGGATTCCTGCAGTCTAAACAAGAAGAGATGGCAGAGATGCTAATAGTGCTCAAGATCCTGGAAGAGGTAACACAAGCCCCAGGGAACACACCAACGTTCCGCTCCACTCAGGCATCCATTTCAGAGGATCAGCACCTGAGCAGCACTGAAGCCAATGGCAGCAGGGCCAGCCCCTCCTTCAATCAGAGTTCCTCCGACTTCGCATTCTGTGCCCAACAGTCACTCCCCCATGGTCAACTTCTCTCTTCAAATATGTATTATAATTCTTAGACCACACCACGAAATGACCCCTTCCGATCTTCAGCAAATGCTCGGGTTGTGTCCTCTAGCGGTGAAAGCAGTGTGGAGAGTGAGGGGACTCCCACTTAGCTCGAGTATTCACCAGGCCTCGCTTCTCAAGACGGTGTTCTAACTGTGCTGCACCAGTCATGGACGTGAGCTGTACACGCTGCTCTAGACATGCATGGACACATGTATCTGGACCTTCTTTTCCCTTCAGTAAAATCCTGGGCACGGGATGGCTTGTTCGTGCCGAATTTGTAGGGTTAAATTCATTTTTCCAACATGTTTGTACCATTAAAAATTCTCATCTTTGATATAAGAGCACCTGTTTCTCAATATCAAGCAGAATACACAGCAGTCTCCTGGCTGTCGTGTGTCCAGATGTTGCTGGAAGCTGGCCGAAATATAAATATGTTCTTTGGGTTTTCTCGTGTTTTCCTAAACAAAATGTTGCCCGTTGAGTCAGCAGTCAGGGCTCATTAGGACTCAACGTGAGAAACGTGTCCCACCGCACAGGGGAAGGCCAGGGGTGCTGTTTCGTGGCTCTAAGAGGGGAGCTCAAGGCGCCAGCAGAAATGAGTTGACCTTTTGTCTCCATAACCTTTGGCTGCTCGTTTACATTTTCTGTTTTTTTTATATTTAGAGTTGGCAAGCTGGTACCCAAAATTGGCACCAGTTGTTTATAGTTAGATTAATATGTTTCAAAAATGATGTTTATTTTGATTCAAATCGCATAATATATAATTCAGTCTAGTAACCATTTGAAAGGCCGCAGCTGACACAGCAACACCGTCGGGACGGGAGGCTTCTGACCCTGCCTTCAGCCGGGGGTGTTTTGAATAAAGAGCCGAACAAGAATCACACACACACAAAAGAAAAATAAGTGTCAGTTTGTATTTCATACGCCCACAAAACCGGGGCAGCGTGGGGGGGGTGTTTTTCTTGTTCTTGGCGACCTGGTGACCCCCAAGATGTCTAGGAATTTCACAAGCCTCATTTTCTAGGGTAAGAAACAAAGTCTCAAAGCAGAGGCCACTTTAGAAAAGGCCGCCCTGGGGACCTTTCCATCACAGTCAGCCAGAATCCATCCAGAGGGACTGGTAACTCTGGCATCCCAAGGTCACTTTTAAAAATTGAAGGGAAACTGTTCTTACATCTGCCCCTCTGTCAGTAAACGGAAAGTGCCAGGCGGGACTCAGGAAGACTGGAATGAAAGTGTGCACCGCGGGTCTCATCCAGGGATCCCAGACACCCTCATAAATCACGCTCGCCTGGGGCAAGAGCCTTTGCTTGCCCAGCTGTGCAGGCAGGAACAATGCAGGCTCGCCCCAGTCCGCCGCTGGGCTCTCTCTGCACATAGGTTGCGGGAGCCACCGAGGACGTGGGCCCACTCCTGTCTGCCATTTACCTGGTCACTCAACAGGTGCCTCTGGAGAGGCCCCCGGGGGCAGAGCAAGGACCTCCTGCAATATCAGCTGCAGATGCAAAATCATTCCATGTGCGAAGACCTTTTTTTAGGCCACTGGTTTCTGTATCATTTTTCTCCAACGTTTCAGTCACTTTGACTCTATGCCCAGTAACTGTGGCAGGTCATTTAAAATTTTTTTTCCTTTTTATTGAAATGTAACCTATCATGCAGGTCATTTTTAAAGCAGATCATTTATAGAGAATGGATAGTTAGCTTTCTGTGATTTTCCTCTCCAATGTTGACTCTTTATAGTTTTATCTCCTTTTTAAAAACAGTATGTGCATATAGATTAAATTACCCAAAGTAAAAAATGAAATTCTTTCGCCATCTCCTATCCTCTCCACCCCCAGCGTAGCCTTCCAGACCCTTTTCTGGCTTTTAGGCAGGATAATAAAGAGCAGAGATCCTAGAGTCAGGCGTACCAGGTTTACTTTCCTGGCCTCCCAGTTTCCCCTTCACTGTGGGCCTCAGCCTGTGCATTTGAACCTCGCTGTGTGCCAGTTTTCTCATGCATGTTGAATCAATCAGCCACGTGGGAAAGAAGCAAAGACACACTGACTCACTGCCCTGCTCACAAAGGCCTGGCCTGAGTCACTCACGCCTTCCGGGAATTCTGAGGAACAGCTCAGGATTCCCGAGGAAGCCCTGGGAAGCCTCCCCTCCGGGCCGGGAAGGGACCTCTCCCCCAAATGCCAGCGCAGCCCTGCCGGGAGGCTCCGGATGTGGCTGTCCCCGCCGCCCACGCTGCCGCCCTGCCCTCAGCCCCAGGGAAGCAGAAATTATCTCAGAAATGCACAGCACTGCTTCCTGCCAAGATGATTCATTTTCATCAGCCAGAGAGAGAGGCCAGGCCTAAATACAGACTTGGTGGAGTAACCTCACCCCATAAACATACATGAAGCACCTGCTGGATGCACATCCTGCCCTTCTGAGCAGAGCACCAAGACTTTCCCTGGGCTATCTTCTTCTGACAGTTTAGAACTAATTGCCCAAGAGATAGAAACAAGAGGGACAAGGAATAATGATTTTTACAAGAAAAAGTAATAGTTGCCAGGGGGAGGGTGTAGCTCAGTGGTAGAGGGCGTGCTTAGCACGCACGAGATCCTAGGTTCAGTCCCCAGCACCTTCATTAAAAAAGTAATAAGAAACCTAATTAACCCCCCTGCAGAAAAAAAACAAAAGTAAACTTTAACAAGTAGTAGTTGCCAGACGACAGAACAAAGTGGAAGGCAGGGGGAAATGAGTAAAATAAATGATTTTTAGGGAAAAAAAAACCCACCTGTGACTAATGGCTGTGACATGCTTTTGTCAGCTGTGATCCTGAAATTCAGGCAGCAAACGGCAATCCTGACCATAACAGAGAGGCAGGAAGTCACATGTGTTTCTGTGGCCTCAGGCTGGGGGAGGTGGCGGGTCCGTGTGGTTTCTCACGCAGGTGCGGCCGTGCCTGTCTGCGTTTCCCCGTGGGGATCGTGAGAGGCACCCGGAGCCTCAAAAGCCCTGTTCTCTTAGAGAAGCTGAAGCCACCGCCCCCTGAGGGGAGGGCCTGCCGGCAGCCCGCTGCCCCAGGAAGCCCGCCTGGGCCGGCGCTGACCCACAGGTGGGCCTGCTCCGTGGTCCGTGGCCCCCACCCGTGGCATCACACGTGAGACCAGAGCAGGCACGTGGCCCAGGCCCAGCCAGGCCGAGGGCTGGTTGTAGCCAAGAGGTGGCGGGGCCCGGAAGCCCTGCCCAGAGAGGGCCCGTGCCATTCAGAATGGCTCCAAGCCGTTACCCACTCAGTGAGCAAATGCTTTCTCCACAAAGTGGATTTATACGTGACACTTTAGTTTAACTAGCATGAAGAGTGCAGGAAGGCCCGGATTTAAAACAAAGGCTGACATGACATGAATCTGTGAGCCAGGCTGCTGTGGGGGCTTCGGTCTTCAAGTGCCTGTTCCCACAGGACAGATTACCCCAAACTTAGTGGCTCCAAACCGCCGTGAGTGCCCCTAGCTCACAGAGTCACTGAGGGTCGGGAGTCTGGGGGCGGCTGAGCTGGGCGGTCCCGGCCCAGAGTCTCTCGCGCGGCTGCCGTCCCGGTGTCGGCGGAGCTGCAGTCAGCGGAGGCTTCATCGGAGGTGGGGGATGTTACAGTGATCGCAGCCCCAAAGATGTGCCGCCCTCCTCTCCCCCAGCACCTCGGATCGCGACCTTATTTGGAAGTGGGGTCTTGGTGGATGTGATTAAGATGCAAGTTAAGATGAGGTCATACTAGAGGAGGGTGGGCCCTCAGTCCCCCATGACTGGTGTCCTCGGAGAAGATGACGTTCGGACAGACACACCCGCAGGGAGAAGATGGCCAGGGGATAACAGAGGCAGAGATGGAGGGGACGCGCCCAGGAGCCCGGGAACACCGAGGCAGGCTTGCTGGCAAACTCCCAGGAGCTGGAAGAGTCTGGGAAGGAGTGTCCCCTACAGGTCTCCCCTTGACCCTGGACTTCCAGCCTCCAGAGATGTGGGACGGTAAATTTCTGTGTTTTAAGCCCCCAGTTGGCGGTACTTTGCTGTGACGCCCTGAGACACGAAGACAGAGGCTCCCTTCCATGATGGCTTGGTCATGGGGCTGGTGAACTGGCGCCAGCTGCTGGCAGGGGGCTCTGTCTTCCACCACATGGACCTTTCGAGGGGCCATCTGGGCATCCTCAGGACGTGGCAGCCAGCTTGCCTTAGAGCAAAGGATCCGAGAGGGAACAGGGTGCAAGCCACAGTGTCTTCTATGACTCAGCCTCCACAAGCAAGATACCGGGTTTCCTAGGTCAGCACCACCCAACCTGGGAGGGGATGCCAGGCAGAGACGCAGGGAGCTGAGAATCCCAGGGACCACCTTGGAGACTGGCTGCCACCCCCTTGATCCAACTCCCGTCTCCCCTGCTGCTCACCTTCCTGAAGTTCACTGCCGGCACACCCCGCCCCTGCCTGCACCAGCTCTCACGGCGAGTCCAGCTCTCTGGTCCAGCCGTGGCCAGACCCTTGTGGCCAAGAACAGTCTGGCCTCGAAACTGTGGTCTTTGCTTGAAACGGCCTCTTCTGATGGGGAAGCTCGTCCATCCTTTGATGTCCTCTCCATCACCAGCACTCTGAGTCCTCTCCCACCCAACTGGCTGTTCCTGCCCCAGTTCCCTCCCACAGCCCCACCTCGCTGGGCCACGATGTTTATCCAGGTCCTAATGTGAGCCACGCCTGGGGTGAGCGACAGCTCTGGGCTGGATGTGGCACCCAAAAGCCTCCCGCAGACTTCTCCACCAGCCCCAGAGTTGGTTGGGTACGGCCATCTCACAGTTGAAGAAACCAGCACAGACATGTCAGCCAGTCGTCCTAATGTGCAAACTAGCGCTGATGCTGGGATTCGCACCTTCTTCTCTGACTCCACGGAGACCCACCACCTGAGCACAGAGCCAGTGCGCTGTTTATCTTTGTATCTGTAGCTCCCAGCACAGCACTCTTGGCTTAGAAAATCTTTGATGCATATTGATTGATGAATGAATGA